GAATTCACTTATGGTATATTCGTGATGCTAAGACTTTTTAATTTTACAAGTTGAAATTTATTCATTGCCTATGGTTTCTGGTTTTGTATCTTGCTTAGAAAACATTCTCATCATTGCAGTTTTCTTTTTTTTTAATTTGAGTGTTAAATTCTTTGGTCCATCTGGAAATATTTTGGACATAAGGGTTGAGGTAGGTATTTAATTTGATATTTTAAAAACCTTAAGACACTTACAATACTTTATCACTCCCCACTCATGATTTATCAAAATCCTTATGTACTTTAGTTTATTTCTTGACCTTATTCTGTTCCATTTTCTGCCTGACAGAATTGAATTCTCTTGGTTATTGTAGATCTATAATATATTTAAATATCCTTAAAGCTCTTTCTCATTTTTTTTCTTTACTTTTAATGTTTCCCAGGTATTCTTTCATGCTTATTTTGTCATAAAATCTTTAGAATTAGCATGGTTCATCTTTAAAAATGAAAATCTTGTTGCTGTCATTGTGGAGATTGTGTTAAATTTGTAGATCAATTTAGGAGAAATTAATACTTTTTAAAATACCAAGGCATCTAACCATTCCCTAATAGAAATATAACCTTCAGTTTGTTAAATTATCCACTGATGCTTTTCAAAATCATTTTGAAGTTTTCTTCGCATGGATCTTGCACATTTACTACGTCTATTCTTACATATTTTATGGTTCTAATTTATATTACAATGGAACTCTCTCCTTCAAATATCTTATGTAATCTTTGTTTATGTATAGAAAAGCATTGATTTTGGCATGATTTTAGATTATCATTTTTAACAGTTTATGTTTTTATGTGCTTTTCTTGGATGTTCAAGTTTCAATCTTCTACAATTAAGTGATAAATTTAACTCTTTTCTAACTTCTATAACTCTCATTTCTCTTGTATAACTGCACTGACACCATTCCCCAGAAAGGAGAGTAATAGATATATTTATGACACCTTTGGCCATTTAGAAATTTTAAACCTTTATGTAGGAAAATCTGTCCATCTTTTATCTCAGAGCTTCTGGGTTTCACGTCTTGCTTTGGAAGATCTTTTCCATTCCCCGAATGCTAAAGACACATCCTGTATTTTCTTCTAATATTTTATAGTTTTTACTTTTATATTTAGTTCTTTAATCCATCTGGAATTTATTTCTATATATTGCGTGAGATAAAAATCTAACTTTATTTTTTCCAGATGGTTCACAAATTCCCCAACATCATTTATAAAGTTGGTCAGCCTTTCCTCGCTAGTTTGAAATGCCACTTTAGTCACATTCTAAACAGATCTGTTTTTTAAAATCAAAGCTTAAAAATGAAATGAAATGAATGACAGTAGAGAACAAAGACAAGAAATGCAGACAAAAAACAGACATCAAGATAATGTTGTACACAAACCTTTTAATGTATATAATAAAATACAAAGGTCATTTGTAGTAAAATAGTATTAATAAAAATAATTTGGAGAAAATATTCTCACAAAATATTCTAGAAAGGACTTAGAAGATGGACATGCGTACAATATAAGGCTGCAGCCGTTGATTATTTGAACACTGTTTAAAGTTCCTCCCATCATATGGAATGTTATTTGAAGCCTCAGGGCTGTAAATGTCCTCCAGCTGCCGAGTTTTACCCCCAAATAGGATATTTGCGAGAGTGGATCAGAAGGGCCCAAAGTACAAAGAAATTAGCAAAACCAAACCAAAACAAAAAACCCAAACAAAACAAAAAAGTAACAGTCTCTTCTTATAATTCAAGATTTTTTTGTGTGTGTACGTCAAGTCTCTACAATATATTTCAGCATTTCACTTTCCTAGCACCAAAGCAGAGTGAAGGTGGACAGACTCTTGGCCTTCTACAATTCTTTCTCTCTCTTAACCAGAGAATAGATTAAGAATTGAAACTAAGTGCCAAAGAGAATAGATGTCAGTGCTGAAATCTGAAACCTTGGAGGAAACTTAAACCATGTGCACCTATAATGCATGCTTTTCCAGAGCTTTGGAAGCTTTCTATTAAATCACAAATCCACAATTAATATTACAGTAGAGAATCCCAATGCTTCTTGGTTGTGTCTTTCTGGCTTTACAGGGCCTGAAGTGCTGCAACATATTAGTGGAAGCACTACAGGTCCAACCGGTAAATTTGTGTAAGTCTTCACTTTGGAAGATTAGCTAGAATGTTATTGGCCAATACAAATTTTTATTTTCCTATGTTAGCAGTTCCAGCTGAAAAAAATTCACAGAATAATGAAAGATAAAGACAGTTTAAGGATCATGCAATGGGAAGTCATTCCTTTGGGACTCATCTAGTCAGGGTCAAAAGAAAACCCGTGCCATGGTTATGTTTCCATGCAACATCATTGAAACATAAAACATAAACACATGTACCCTGTGTTTCCTCATGAGTAGAATGATATGTTTTTAGGAAAGACATTTGATTGAGTTTCCATCAAGGAATTAGGTAACAACAACCACAACAATAACGACACCACCACAAACGAGCCACTCTCCTCATTGGCTGGGGATTGGTGTGTTGTGGGTCTGTGAGGGATCATAGAGAGGTATGGCTTGCGACACATCGTACAGATGATCTGAACAGTTATCTGCTTACACATACCACGGAAGCAGGTCCCGGGTTGTTAATATACGCATGGTAACTGATGTTCTAATCACTTTATAGGAAATGCTGGACTGTTTTCAAACACTACAATGTTTAGCAATCTAGAATAAAAACAGACAATTATTGAATACAAGTTTAACTCTTTTTATCGGGGGTCTTAGATTTAGGTTGGATTTAGGTCTTGCATTTAGGTTTTGTTTTTAAATGAACTAAATGACTACAAAAATAGTCCATGAGTAGAGGTACCCGCGGTTAGGTTAACGAATGTTGCCCTTCACAGATTTTCCTGGAAAACCTTGCGGAGGGTGTGTCTATTTCTGCCACCATTCATTGCCGAGATGGTCCTCCATGCCCTTTGCCTTCCTGGAACGCTAAGTAAAGCCAGACTCTGGACTTCCCATTTCCCAGGCCTTTGGAGGAGTGCTAATTACAAAATACTTTACTGAAACACTAGGAACTCATTCACGAAGCCAAGCCAAGTCTCAGATTTGAAAACGTTTAAAAATATCCTTGCAACAGCCGTACTACTTTATAGTTTATCTATTTTTAGATGCTCAATGTTTGTTTTGCTGGAAGAAAAAAATTAAAACATGAAAAGTATGCCATGAGCAAATCTGCAATAATAAGCTGCACATACATGTTGTAGAAGAAAACATTCAACATAAAATAGTCAACAGAAAAACAGATTCTGCTGAGGCATTTTTATAAATAGTAGCACTTATTATTTTGCTTCCAATTGCTAAGCATTTTAAATAACATACCCTTAAAAGTTGTCAAGTTCTTTTCTTTATATAAATATAATTTCCTGATCTTAACGTTCATAAAATTATTGTGAAAATTATAAATGTATTCCACTCGTCTCATGTGTAATTTTACAATCATCATACTGTTAAAATTAGAAACACAAGGAAGAAAAGGACGAAATAAAAACATGCTATCAGGCACTGAAAAAGCCAAGGATTGGAAAATATTAATTTCTCTGTATAAAAATAGAATTTGCCTATGAAACATTGAATCAAATATTTTGAACAGATATCCTGTCACACAGATTTATAGATAAAATTGTCCCCAGTGGTTGTCAAACAGTCACACCCAATTTAAGGTCATACTCCGGTCTTATCTTTCATGTCCCTTTGAATTCCTCAGCATAATAACAAGGAGGAATTATGCTTTGAACCCTAAAAGAGCAGTTTCGTAACTGCTTGCCTCGAATGTAATTACTGCTATACAGTCAGGTAAATTTTCACACTGTACCTTTAAAAGCAAAAATCATTTAAAAATGTTCTGAATGACCTCCATCTAGAAAGTACAGAGGTGTGTAAGGGAAAAGAATGTCTATTTCAACACCAGGGAGGTGAAGTCTTAATGCAGGGAAGAAAAGCGAATTTCCTGATTTCCACAATGCCGTGGCGTGGCGTCCTCTGCACCCGGTCACCAGTCAAGGGCTGCTGGCTGCGTGTCTGGCTGATGCAAGCCTCTATCCCCGACACCTTACCAGGGACCAAAGGCCGACTCAGGCTCCCTATAGCCGCAGTTAGGAGGGGTTCCATCCACCTCTGGCTGACTCCAGAAACTATGGTAACACTTAAAGGGCCTGAAACACCTTTACTCCCTGTTTCAGTGCTTCCTTGCATCAACCCTCATAATTCGACTTGGCAATACGGAAAATGGCAAAGTAGAGTTAAGAAAAATACTGACGAATACCGCAAGTCATGTTTCAGAGTGGAAATTTTGACTTTGCTAGCATTACCAGTATTTCCTGCCTCACAACCGAAATGACTTGCTGTGAATTTTGCAGTGCCCAAGCCAAAAGCAATAAAATTTCTGTAAGAGCATATGCACCATGACAGAATAGCACATCAGCCCAGAAAAATGATTTTCCTGGGAAGGTCTGTGCAGCGATGGAGCGGGCTCTCAATGCTATGGAAGCTGGGCAGAGATTTTCACTGCTTCCAGCTCACAGTGAGGTAATTTTAAAAGCACTTTTCCCTTCATTTGTTCTGCATTCACTGAATGTACATTTTTTGATGTCAGGGACATTGCAGGAAAGATCAGATGAGATAGTCTGACAATGGAGCCAAAGTTCAAAGCTTCTCTATTTTCAGGTAACAGCCGTGACAGTTTGTCTGCACTAAATCTTTTGAGGGCATGTCACTGTAACCCTGTCCATAGCTTTTCAAACAGTTCAAGACAAACAAATCACTTAGTCGTTGAACAACTGTAACATCTGATACCATCGCACAGAAGTTGTAGCGATAGCCACTAATCAAAGTTCTTTCCATTCAGTTGAAAAAAGAAAATTCCTCAGCTTTGGTTTAAGATCACTTTTTATGTTGTTCTTTTGAAAATTATTATATGCCAAAGTTAAAAAAGAGGGAGAGAGTGTAGATTCGTCCGTTAAGAAGGACCAGGAAGTCCAACGTTCTAGTGGCTGCCTTCTGTCAGTAAGGAGCTATGGGGTGGACTGAGAGTCCTCAGGGGTGACTGGTAAGGTCTCCAAGGGGACCCCCAAGTCGCCCTTAGAGCCGCTCTCCGGGTCTCCAGATGAGATCCCACTTGCAGTGGGTTCACACGGACAGCGGTGTTTTGCTTTCAGGCTTCCGGGCTGATGTAGCAAGGAAGCGCGGACATCCATCGCCAGCACCGCCAGGCGGTAGAGCTGTAACACCACAACAAGGAAATTCTTGGCGGCAAAGAACACCAACATCTGGTTTATGACTTTGAAGTAGGTCATCAATATGAGACGCACTATGAGGAAGGGGCCGTCTTGTATGAAGATGCTGATCCCAATGTTCCAAAGATCAGCGCTGTATTGGCAAAAGAAGAAGCTGGGGAACCCCCTCATTGCCATGGACAAGGGGCAGACCACATGCTGTACTGAGAACACAAGACAGACCAATTAGTGCACCTCTGAAATGTGTAAGACAGAATGAAGTGGGGACAAATCATCAACGATGGGGGCTGTACTACTTAACAGTTAGGACTGATTCTATAGTCTAATTCTGGGGGGAATAAGTGAGCTCATCCTTAACATTGAACACCATGTTTAGCCACCCCTTAACCACTTAATCTCTGTGGTCATTTTATGTTTAAAATCAATTGTCTGTCGTAATTTCAATAAAACACACAAAAGAAAGCCAGTCCTCAGCTTTCCGTCCATGTCACAAATTTTAGATCACCTTCTAGTCCCCATCCTGGGGACACCACACCACCTTTTCTGTCCCTAGGGTCTGCAGTGTAGAGAGAGAGCACAGCAGGGCATTTTAGGCCTCAAGCCAGATAGGCTGGCTGCCTCATTTTTTTTTTTGTAGTAAGATGCTGGCCAAGTTACTTAACCTTCCTGGGCCCCAGTTTTTTCTTTAGAAAACCAAGGTAACAACGATGTCTGTGAGGAGAGGGCCCCCTATTCCTTGGCTCTTTTTATTTCCATGAGAGTAACACCCTTGGCTCCTCTCTGATTTCTCACTTCTCTCTTTCCCTTGGGATAATGAATGACTTCGCTGATGCTGAGTTTGGGATCCTTCTGTTTTGGGATTTACCTATTTCCTGGTTGACTCACTTAGCCACGCGTGTAAATTATGTTGTGAAAATGCAAGTGTTTATAATTCAAATTCAAACTTAATTCATGTTAAACATATTTTTCTAATGGTGGGTGGACAAAAGCCCAAAATAAATGCCATTGTTATTTTATTTTTCCTAATGCCGTATGGTTTCATTTCACGGTTTACAAGAAACACTGGATATAATTACTGATTTTCCAGTTGAACAAAAGGAGGCCCAATCAACAGATGAACCTTTTTGTTTTAATTCCTAAAATGCTAATTTAATTCAAGGTCAAGGGCATAAAATAATCCTGTATAATAATGAAGCCTTCCATTTGGAATTTTCAAACAAAGAATGCCTTCGTCTACTGGAGCCTGCAAATATTATGAAGCTGCTTTGATATGGGTGAACATAATGTATTGTTTGTTGGAAAATACAATAGTGATTTAGTCAGAAGTAACATTTGGTCTTTGTTTTTCAAACAGCTGCATAACATTATCACCCCTGAAAGTTTATACAATTTCTTTCCCAAATAAAAATTTTCTTAGCAAGGCTATAAACCACAAGATATAGGAGGGTGAGGAGGAACAGTGTGAATAAAAAAAGAAAACCCAACATAAGATCAATAGTGGCCTCTCTCTCTTTTTTAAAAAAGATTTATTTATCTCTTTTAGAGGGTGAGGAGAGAGGAGGAGAGAGATGGGGAGAGAGAATCTCAAGCAGAATCCCTGCTGAGGGCAAAACCTACACAGGGCTTGATCCCACAACACTGAGATCATGACCTGAGCCGAAAACAAGAGTCAGATGCTTAACTGACTGAGCCACCCAGGTGCCCCAATAGCGGCTTCTCTTAAGAAGTTAGGGTCAGGAAATGGTTCCAAGGGGACCTCCTAAGAGTGTTCTTCAACATCTAAAGTGATGGTACCAATATTCTGTCAGGAAACACCACCTAATCAAGAAGTATAGATTGGGCACATTACAACAAAATGTGTTTGTGTGTGTGCGTGTGTGTGTCTGTGTGTGTGTGTTATTAGCATACATTTGTTTGTAATTATTAACCGGTAATTAGATTTTGGGTGTTTCTAAAAATCCACCCCCATTCTTTCCATCTATTTTGATGACAGTTTTGTTCCAAAGAGTGTTTGCTAAATTCTAAAATGGCCTCTGAAAACTCTGGGCCTATTAAAGTAAGCCAAAAGAAGATGCAGAAAGATTAAATATCTCTGTTTTAGATTAATTTTAATCCTGAGGCCATCGAGTAGGGTGCCATAAAAAAAGAAGTCAGGCTTAAGGAAAATGTAATTATTAAATCCTAGAATTTCTTCAGGGTAAAGTAGCATCCTGGAGAATTCTCAAGTCAGAATTCCAGGTATCTTTCTTGGAAGTTAGGGGATGACTCCAGATTAATGTCGTCCAATTGACCTTCCTGTGATGGTAAAAAATGTTCTGCTTAACACACTGCCTACCACAGCAGCCATACGCGGTAGCTGAGCACTTGAATTGTGGCTAGTGTGACTGAGGAACTGAACTTTTAATTTTATTTCATTTCAATTAATTTAAATTTAAACAGCCACATGTGGCTAGTGGATCTGTATTGGACAAGCAGCTCTAGATCATCACTAGTATGATATGCTTGGTAAACAGTTTTTTCTTACAAAGTCTTAGGAGTTGATGTATTTATTAATATGACCAATGGAATTCTAAGGGCCACTACTGAGGAAAATTTTAATTTTCCTTGTAGCCCCCAAACTGCTCTTACTCCCTGTGATATTCTAAGATATGGGTCTGACAAAAGAATGAAAATGAGGTCTGAAAATATCAAGAGGTAACATATATATCCCAGCAACTATGCTAAGTACTTCACAAACTCTATCTTATTTAGTCATCACAAGAAACTTCAACTCTAGTTACTATGATTAACAGTCCCATTTCATTGGTGAAAATTGAGGCACAAAGGTCTTGTGTAGTTTGTGGGAGATTTTACAATGCACATGTGATAGAACCACTTTTTGAAGTGAGTGTAAAGCTGTGTTCCAGTACACGTGACTCTCTCAGGATCACCAGGTCCCAGAATGGATCCACTAGCGGTTTTCTTAAGTTTCAGTCAATTTTTCTTCTAAACTGAACCGGCACTAACACTGGGATATCAAAATGATTAAAAATGATAAACTTCTCAAATGCCTACAAGATTATAGCTTATAATCAGGAGTTATAATTTTCTGTTTCTTTGAGCAAATATTGAGACATTTACCTGCCAGGTCGAGTGGAAACTGCAGCATGCTCCAGGTCCATATGACAAGGATGGCATAGACTAGGGCAGGACTATTCCTAGAACACAGAAAAATTTTAAATTAGTAATAAAAAAATGATCATTTTTAAAGAAATATTTTCTCTTTTTTCTCATATTTGAGCATACCTTAATAAACTCCTCAAGTGTTGTCAAAATATCTTGGTGATGTAAGAAACCCATGAAAAAAATCCATTCATGATAATAATGGAGTAATGAAGAAGTAAAAAAACTCCGAAACTTAAAATCCAACTTCCACATGTGCCAACATCTGTGTAAATTATGGCAAAGCCTCTTTGTCCCATATTGTTGTCTTTAGTTTTACAAAATCATGGAAACATTATTGGAGATAGATGCTAGGAAAAATGTTAGACTTTGACTCAGAAATTCAGAGGGCTGACTTCAAGAATTTTCAAGGAGAAAATTAAAAATGTTTTTTTTTTTCTAAGATCATGATACGCTAACCTAAAGATACATCTCAAAAGGACAACATGATGCCCCAAAATTAAAAGTTCAACACATAAAAGAAAACTACCTTCAGCCGGGAAAAGAAAGTGAGAAGATAAATCCAATAATAAAAAGTTTACACCAATTTCTAGGATCTAAGTCAGGGAATATGACAGTTTCATTCACTATTGTATCCCCAGTGCCTGGAACAGCAAATAAGAGAACCTCAACAAATATTTATGGAAGAAATTATTGAATGTATGAAAGAAGGGCCATACTTGGCAAATATACAAATACACAGACGTCATTGACCTATAAGAATGGTCTTGAAGACTGAAGTCATAAAGAATAGATGTTATAAAAATACAAAGGATATTATAGAAATATCAAAATTAATTTTTTTAGCAAAAATACAAAGGAAGGTAGCAATTTGAGGTTAGTGGTATAATAGTAGATTTTATTGCCAACTTCTCTGTCAAGAGAGATTTTCAGATTGGAGGGGGATAGAAGTCATCAAGTTGAAACCAAATATAAATGAGGTGGTTGCAAGAGATATCTTTAAATGCTTCAAGTATTGAGGCCTGGAAAAATTGGATCTCAAAAACTATGAGAGAAATTGTAAATGACATTTCTAAGCCTCATTATCTTGGTAGTTAGTGGCAGAGACAAGGGTGATGACAAAAAAATAAATAAATAAAGTCTTAATTTTCAAAATGAAGCAGAAGTGTATCTTAAAGTACAAACTGCACATTTACAATTAATCCCTAGTTAGGTTATATAAGTGGTTATTCAGAAGATTTCTGAAAGCCTTATAGAAGACAATAATTACTAGGCATCAGCATGGGTTACTTGGAACAATTATACTCAGCATACTAAGATTTTCTCTCTCTGTCTCTCTCTCTCCAATAGAGTTAGGATTACCAAGCAAGTAATGATATATAAATTAATATAAGACATTTGGGTTTAAATAAGACTTGTGAAAAAGCCTCCCACAGTGTTCTTATTAACAAGATTAAGAAATGTTCTGGGTATAAGCACAGTTAGGTGGATTCCTAACTGTGTAAATGACTCCTCAAAGGGATCTCTCTAAGGGTTGCTTCAGGCTCTGCCTTTGATTCGATTCCACTTCACATTTCACCAATGACTTGGTTGCCACATTGATGGAAGGCTTCTCATATGCACATATGACATCGAGGCTGGATAGAAAACAATTACCCCAGAAGACACAATCAGGATCTCAAAAGATCCTGACAAGATATAACTGGATGACCTAGAACAGGATAGAAGAGGTAGCATTTCACAGCAGCCGCCATAAAAAAGGCTCAAGGATTTTCCCTTACTATTATCTAATTATAAGTTCACAGTATGACATGGATTTATGACTTTACAAAATTAAATGTAATCATAGGTCATTTCATAAGAAGTATAAAGTCTAGAATTTTAAGTGGAGATACTTAGGGAATGCAGTCTATAACTTTATTCCATTTTTGCAATGTCAATGTCTATACATAATAGACCTTCAATTAGTAGTGAATTATTAAATAATTTTACCTACAGTTTCTGAACTCCTACTGTTTCAGGAAGTTTCTAATGATTTAACTATGATCACACTTAATCCTCATACCAGTTTCACAAAATAATTATACTTGTCCCTATTTGACCAGTGAGGAAATTGAGGCAGAGAGTTGTAGAAACTCTAGTTGTCCAAAGTAATGTGGTTATTTTAAGTGTTGGAAGCAGAAGTCAGAATTGGATAGCTTGTTTCAGCATCCACACTTTTAGCCATGGTACTATACTATTTCCAAAAAGGAAACAGTAAGTTTTAGCCCTGTTGTATCTATAATGTTCAGAATATATCAGAAATATTACATATTGTGCCTAATGTTTTAGGAGGAAAATTTATAAAGTTTTTGGTCTAAGGGAGAGAGGCTAGGATGGTGAGAGATCTCAGAGTCATGTTATATGTGGGATAGCTCAAGAAATTTTATATATTTAAAAAGCTATCATATGGGGGCACCTGGGTGGCTCAGTGGGTTAAAGCCTCTGCCTTCGGCTCAGGTCATGATCTCAGAGTCCTGGGATCAAGCCCCGCATCGGGCTCTCTGCTCAGTAGGGAGCCTGCTTCCCCCTCTCTCTCTGCCTGCCTCTCTGCCTGCTTGTAATCTCTCTCTCCCTGTCAAATAAATGAATAAAATCTTTGAAAAAAAGGCTATCATATGGAAAAGGAATTAAACTTATTTCTTCTGACTTCAGAAGACCAATCAGATTCAAAGAACTTTAGTGGTGCCTATAAGAATGCAAATTTTATCACAATAGAGAAAAGTACTCTCTAATAATAACCACCTCAAAATGGAATGAGTTACCCTGAGGTTTAGTGAAAATTTTCAAAGAAAGTCTGGACAAAAATTTGTTGAGAAAATTCTGGAGAGGATTTTGCAACAGATGTAAAATAGATTGTTCAATAGATGGTTACTTTTGAAGTTTCTTCTAATCCCAAACTTCAATAATTCTACCAAAAACTCACATGCAATTTGTCTGCAAGGCAGCAGGAAGCAATGGTAAAGAACAAGGTCTGGTGCTGTGTTGCTGGAGTTCAAATACCAGCTCCAACCCTCACCAGAGAGGTAGGATGTGGGCCTTCAGTCCCAGATCCATATTTACTGATACATGAACATGAACAAGTAATTTCATATCTATATGCTTTAGTTTATCCATATTCCATGTGAGGATAATGATAATAATTTAATAGCTACTAGATTTTATATGATAATTACATTAAGTATATTATAAAAATGTATTAAACATATAAAGCTCTTAGAACAACACTCAAAACAGACTAATTATGAAGGTTAGATTTTATTTTTTATTACCGTATAACCTTGAGACCTTCTCAACTTCTCTTGCCTGCCACAGTTCAACTTATGAAATGGTGATAATGATAGTATCTACCTCATAGTGTATTGTAAGACTAAATAACTTATCATAGCTAAAACCCTAGAACAGTACTTGGAGCGCAGAAAGAGATAAACATTACTTAGCAGTAGTAGCAAGCGGCAGCAGCAGAAGCAGCGGCAATGTTAGCAGTAGTATTTTTATTATGTGAACATACCTCTTAAATTTTTTGTTTTAATTCTATCATTTTACAAAATAAGGATAAATAATAAACACTAGCCCTTAGTAAGCCAAATTCTAACCCTACAATATAAACATATATCTTTTGCATATGTAATATCTGAGCACACACAAAATATAGGAAACTCTGAGTGTTGAGAAACATATTACTAAATTTATCAAAAATAACTTTGGAAAAAATGGCCAGAAAAATTTTAAAGCAGACAAATTTGTACTAAGTCAGATAGTAAATGTTACTCAGGAAGGTTAAAAGGAAAGTAAATAAATCACTGAGCTTAAATGACAATCATTCAAAATGTGAAGGAATTTTGGAGTAAATTTATTCAACATTATTTCCATTGTGTAATTGTCTCCCTAATTGCCCCACCCCAATTTCTCATGTGTAATGTCTTCATAAATGTCAACTGAGAAGCATGTAAGCAGACAATGGACTCTATTTATAAAGAGACAAAAGATCTTGACAAATATAATTATATATGTGAGTATCACTTCTCTACTTGGAAAATTAGGAGGATAAAAGACTGGAATTTGGTAGATCAGTGCACCGGATTTTATGGGTGTAAAGTAAAAATAAAGTCATACATTGCTAATTTGCTTAACTGTTTCTTTTTGGACATGTAAATGTTCCTATAGATAAGAGATAAGCAGTGGATAGAATTCACCTCATTTTTACTTTAAAAAAAATTTTATTTTTTTAGAGAGAGTGTGTGTGAGTATGGGGAGAGGGGCAGAGGGAGAGAGAAATTCAAGCAGACTCCACACTGAGTGCAGAGCCCCAACATAGGACTCAATCTCACAGCCCTGAAATAACGACCTGAGCTGAAACAAAGAGTTGGAATTTTAATCGTTTGTGCCACTCAGACTCCTCTAATTCACCCAGTTTTTAGAAAATCATCAACCTCTTCAGAAAAGAAAAAAAAATAAAGAGAAAAAGTAAATGAGAAAATGAAGTATTAACTGACCTTAGAAGAAAAGCAGAAAGAGTTAAATGAAAAGAAAATACAGTGTAAACATAGGAAAATTCTCCTTTGTGTGGTCAAATACAGTGAGATAATAGTAATGTTATGAGAACGGACTTTTTCCTCTTTAATAAATGATCTGTGTTCAAAAAAAGACTGCACATGAAAAATTATCTCTAAATGTGTAAATAACCAGTTAGCTCTTCCTGGCAATGATATTAACATTCAGAATTGTTAAAAGTGTTGGAAGATGGCTGTCGCAGAATGAAAAGTTCAAAAACCTTTCTGCAACAAACATACTTGACAAATTGTCAAAAATAACCACTTTAGATCTCTAAAAAATCAACCAAAGGCAAAAACCAAATTGAATAACATTTATTTATGAGAAACTGGTAGAACTTCAGTTAAGAAGAGTGGGAGTTTGAAGCATTCTTTTCCATGGGATATTTTTACAACCCTTCAGCGTGGCTATGTTAAAGAAAAATTGCATCAGACAGAATTAA